TGGACAATCAGGAAACGTCTAGGTTAGAATAGAATCTTTCTCACTGCATATTAGCTTTTCATTACTTGAACAATGTGTTGGTGAACAATAGATCTGCTATCTGTCCTCTCAAGTAACACAATCCCAGGAAGGCTGAACTATATGCCTTTTCTTAATGTGTAGATCAACCTTTATATTCTGCAAGGCAGGGACAACTTTACTTCTCTATTGTACTATGCCACCTGGTACAATGCTGAAATGATGGGTCTTAATTTTAATAAATGACAATACTTTTCACAACTACACTTACCTTCTGCTTCTTTCTGTAAACGTAAAACCATTTCTTCAACTTCATCCTTAACCTCTTCTTTTGGAGGCAGTATACCAAAATCTCTTAGTATGTCATTCCATTCTGTATCTTCGTTTGGATCCTTTTGCAAAAGGAATGCAAAATATCACCAATATACAGTAATCTGGCTAGACTCTAAAGAAGTACTATCAGAATTCTGCCCCTTCTTCCTCATCACAGCCACCTTGAAGGATGGGCTAAGGAACAGCTTAGGTTGATACTCCAGCAGCAAATGGAGCAGCAGAAACAGCAATTTAAGAGTCTGGAAGAGGAGACAAAAGCTATGTACCAGGAACACCCAGGAGCAAATGGGGCAGCTAAAAAGCTCCTTCGAAGAGAAAAGGGAGACTCCATGTGAGGAGCCGAGGGCCCTGCCTAATCAGCCACTACAAGGGGTTAAGATTGACCCTGAAGACCAGCTGCAGTATACTCAGGCTGCAGGGGAGGAATGATTAGCTGAAAAACTTGGACTGTAAAGAGTTGCAGTCAGTACCAGAAGGAGAGGTTGATTGTCCGGGAGCCTGCCAGTGTGGAAGACACAGAAAGTTGAAGCCCCCAAAATTAGAGGGAGTCAGGCCAGAGAAGGAAGAAAGTGTCCCAGAGAAGAGTAAACTGCAGGCTGGAGGTGAGGAGTGGATGATGATACAGTGGTACCTCTGGTTAAGAACTTAATTTGTTCCGGAGGTCTGTTCTTAACCTAAAACTGTTCTTAACCTGAGGTGCCACTTTAGCTAATGGGGCCTCCCGCTGCCGCCACACGATTTCTGTTCTCATCCTGAAGCAAAGTTCTTAATCCAAGGTACTATTTCTGGGTTAGCAGAGTCTGTAACCTGAAGCGTCTGTAACCTGAAGTGTCTGTAACCTGAGGTACCACTGTAGTTTTTTCCCCTCACTTCATATTCCATCTGTGAAAGAAAAATTGCAGGAGGAGAAGTTGCAGGCATGTGTGTATGTACATGGGGTCGCCCATGGTCTTATGAGTTTTGAGGGCCAGGATAGCTCCCTGCCTCTGTTTGGGTGCATGATATACTCAGGAGATTGTGAGAATGAACAGAGAGGTGTGGGATTTTTGCTGTCAACCTTGGATGGGGTTTGTTTTTTGTTTTTGTTTTTTGTTTGCTGCCAACCTTAATGGATTAGGTCAGCTAGTCTTCAAAAGGATGCCCCCATATAAAGGCTTGGGGCAGAAATTTGATTTGTAGTAGGGGGGAAAGGGATGAGGTGGGCTGGGCCAGACTCATTCCAGGGCAGCAAGTGGGAAAAATATATCCTCTCGAAGAGGTTTGACTCCGAACAGTCTCCAAACAGGTTTGACTGGCACCAGTGCTTATTGTTACAGTGTTGTGAGTTTGGGGAGTTAATCCGTATGACCACGTGATCACAGAAATCCTAGAGTTCGAAGGGACTATGAGGGTCATGCATTCCAACCCCTCAATGCAGGAATCTTTTGCCCAATGTGGGGCTTGAACTCACGACCCTGAGATTAAGAGTCTCAGTGCCTTCTATCCCTGGGGTTCTGGTTCCAGCAAGAGCCAGTGTGGTGTACTGGTTAAGAGCGGTAGTCTCGTAATCTGGTGAACCGGCTTCGCGTCTCCACTCCTCCACATGCAGCGGCTGGGTGACCTTGGACTAGTCACACTTCTCTGAAGTCTCTCAGCCCCACTCACCTCACAGAGTGTTGTAGGGGAGGAAGGGAAAGGAGAATGTTAGCTGCTTTGAGACTCCTTCGGGTAGTGATAAAGCGGGATATCAAATCCAAACTCTTCTTCTTCTAATGGAAAAGTTTCTTTGTGAGTTAAAGACCCTTACAACAAAAGAAGTTCTGTGCCAGAGGGCAAATGGGTGGCGCCCCTCTCTCACCTGGCTGGTAGTTAGTAGACAAAAGCTAGGGCCAGTGTTGTGTGAGAGAGCTGGAAGCAGGGTGTAGGCAGAAGTCAGAGTGTGAGAGCTCTGCCGGATTTTATGCTTGACTCCAAGGCTGTGACTATGGGAGAAACAAGACCCTTTTGGAGTGTTAATGCTGTGAGTCCCTCCATCTTCGACTCGGGTTGTATATATGTGTAACTAAACCATATATCCTAAAGACACCGGGTGGGAGACTTGGAATTCAGTTATCTGCTTCCTTATTCCTGAATAGACCACTGCATTCCTAGGCCTGAGGCTCCCCATCTCTGGAATAGAAGACCAGGGCCTTAAAGTTTATTTTCCATAGTTTCACAAAAAATGACTTTGGATACTAGCTGTAATCCACAAACCTCTCATTTTGTAGTACTCTCACTTTCAGTCAAGTTATCCCTTTGGAGAAATATTATTTGCGTAGCAAGAGATTGAAAAGTGTTACTATTAGCAGGAGTGCTTTATGCAGTGTGTCTCACACTTATTCGGAATCCCTGGCGGATTGCAGATTATTCCTCTAGTTGGGTTTCAAAATATGTTGTTGAGACAGAAGATAAATTAAATCAGAGGCAAAGGCAATAGCCTGCCTTTTGTCTCTTCTAATAAGGATTTATGAATCTTTTCCTGAATGCTGAAATTGGATTACGTTGAGATGAGATATGGTTTCCTATTACTCAAGCTGAGACAGGCTTTAAAGATGAAATACTTACATCCCAAAGGATTTAGAAACTATCACAGTATCTTCAATTAAACATGTAGTACATGTAAAGTATGTGGAAGAGCAACTAGGTGACACAATGGCAGTGTTATAAAATGAAATAGTGTGGACTGGATAATTATAAATACAACAAAAGGTTGCATGTGGAGAGCTCCTGTTCAGGGTTCCAGTCAGTGAACCATATCCTCTTCCAGGATACTCCATTCCATCTCCGTTTTTCTACCCCCACCTATAGCAATCAGCATTCTGTGTCCTGCTTGTAGAGCTGGGCAGGAATAGGTTAAATGGCTGTAATTCTGTAATTGGGCTGAGCTGAAAATGCAGCAAGGTTCTGGAAAGCCAATGCTCAGGACCAAGGTGGAACATTCTGGGGCTTTGATTAGTTGGGTGAAAGACATATTATGAAAAACTATAGGAAGAAGATAAACCAAACTACAGTGCAACATTGGTTCTCAAATGCCTTGGTACTTGAACATTTCGGCTCCCAAACACCCAAAACCCAGAAGTAAGTGTTCTGGTTTTTGAACTTTTTTCAGAAGCCAAACGTCCGATGCAGCTGTTGACTATTGTTTGTGGGGCACCTGCGCCAATTGGAAACCGCGCCTTGGTTTTCGAACGTTTCAGAAGTCGAATGGACTTCCGGAACAGATTACATTTGAGAACCAAGGTACCACTGTATATTTGACTCCAAGAAACACCTAATACTTTAAGAGAGAGCCTGGAAAATCCAGGACACAAGGTCAGTTGTTAAGACCTAAATCTGAAAAATCCATACGCTATTGAATCCTGTATCAGTTTGATAGCCCCAATCTAGCTGATGTTAATTGTGAGAACATCCCATTGAAACCAGTGGCATAAATCCCCTTCAACGGGAATTTGCTGGAGTGGGGCTGGTATACGTTCGCTCTCCTAAGATTAAAGCATACATGGAGGTATGCAACCCCTTTTTAAACCTGTTTTGTATTCATGCCAGCTGATGTTATAGACACCAAGGACCTGGTGGGGAGAGTGAAGAGCCTTTACTGATTTCTTTCCCATGCACACAGAGCTGCACCCAAAAGTGCTAAGGAATCTGAAATACACACATACTTTTATTCCTGTCTGCAATCTTCAATTATAAATTCACCAAATCCCTGGCAATTATGCTGCATATGTACATAAATACTATCACACATTTGTCTTAAAGGTAAAGGGACCCCTGACCGTTAAGTTCAGTTGCGGATGGCCTTGGGGTTGCGGCGCTCATCTTGCTTTATTGGCCAAGGGAGCTGGCATTTGATCACAGACAGCTTCTGGGTCATGTGGCCAGCATGACTAAGCCGCTTCTGGCGAACCAGAGCAGCACAAGGAAACGCCGTTTTACCTTCCCACCGGAGCAGTACCTATTTATCTACTTGCACTTGACGTGATTTTGAACTGCTAGGTTGGCAGGAGCAAGGATCGAGCAACAGGAGCTCACCCTGTTGCGGGGATTCGAACCGCCAACCTTCTAATCAGCAAGCCCTAGGCTCTGTGGTTTAGACTACAGCACCGCCTGCGTCCCTTATTTGTATTAAAGGGATGCACAAAAGCTGAAACACCATTTAAACATTTAAAGGGGCAAAGTGCTATACAGTTTAGACATACTTTTTAAACTGATAGGCTGCCAATATCACAAACGGCATTACACAAGTTTGTGGTGAGACGGCACATGGAATAAATTGGCGTTGGAAAAGGTTTCAGAAAGGGCAACCAAAATGATGAAGGGGATGAAGGAACTCCCCTATGAGGTTGCAACATTTTGGACTTTTTAGTTTAGAGAAAAGGTAAGAGGTGACCCGATACAAGTATATTAAAACTTTCCACAGCATGGTGCAAGTAGCTAGAGAAAACGTTTTCTCCCTCTCTTGCAACACTAGAATGCAATGAAGCTGCATGTTGGAAGATTCAAGACAGATAAAAGAAAGTTCTTCATATATAGTGTGCATAGTTAAACTATGGAACCGCCTATAGTGAACTGCTGTGACAGTGGATTACATTCTATCTTTCTGACCTGCATGTTGTCTTGCTTGTGTGCAGCAAAAGTGATCCCTTGCCACCTGGCCCTGGAGTGCCGGTGAAATGAGGCCAGGCCTGCGCCTAGTTGGCAAGCCGGGTAGATAGAATGACCAGGCAACTGTTTCAGAACACAACTTACTGTGGAGAACATGTGGGAGGAGCCAGCTATGAGATGCCAACTGCCATTGTGAGAGCTCCATCTTCTTTTGTAGCGGTGAGTCTCAGTGATAAGTTTACACGAAAGAGGTGGTAGGTAGGACAGCTCTAAATTTATCAGTGCGCTCTCGACTATTTATTCCCCATCCATTGATCAAGCTCAGGTTAATGACATAAGACTGTCATGGGACACAATTGTTTGGTGCTACAAAATAAGGCTGCCTGCTCTTTCGCCTTTGCTATTTACAACAGCCATCAACATTTTGGCCAATAAATCAGTCAACCCTGGCACTGTAGGCTTAACATTAGAAAGAAGAGAAGAGAAAAAGGAGGTAGGTAGGTGTAGATATAAAAATATATATACATACAAAAAATGTAAAAATGCGTAATTGTTAAAGGTGCGTTCATTCTGCAAACTGGTATCGCCAGCTTTTTTTATATACATGGTGGGCACAATTTGAAGCGAAGATTCTGCTTGATTTTTAATGATATAATCCAGCCATGCTTGGATTGGCTTGTCAGCTGGCAAAACTATTTCCCAATGCCCTGATGTATGGTGGTATATTGTGGTTACTTGGTGGTAGTAGAGATACCCAGAACACATGAACAAAGGCACTTATTTTAACTTCATGTGCGGGTGGCGCTGTGGGTAAAACCTCAGCGCCTAGGACTTGCCGATCGCATGGTCGGCGGTTCGAATCCCCGCGGCGGGGTGCGCTCCCGTCGTTCGGTCCCAGCGCCTGCCAACCTAGCAGTTCGAAAGCACCTCTGGGTGCAAGTAGATAAATAGGGACCGCTTACCAGCGGGAAGGTAAACGGCGTTCCGTGTGCTGCGCTGGCTCGCCAGATGCAGCTTGTCACGCTGGCCACGTGACCTGGAAGTGTCTGCGGACAGCACTGGCTCCCGGCCTATAGAGTGAGATGAGCGCACAACCCTAGAGTCTGGCAAGACTGGCCCGTACGGGCAGGGGTACCTTTACCTTATTCAACAGCTATGTCATTAACACTAATCCCAGCCCCCAAGCCTAACCCTCAGGTGACTCCTAACACAAAATAAGCTCTGCACAATGACAAAGGGCTTACTTAATATATCTTTAAGGGGCCACAGGGCTCTTGTTTTTGCTACAGTAAACTATGGTAAATCCCTCTGGAAATAATGGATCCCGTTAGCTGAATAACTGGCTATTGTTAGATGTGCTTTCTAAATGTGATTCTAATTCATGGCACCCGTTCTCCTCTTTGAAAGTTTTACCCACTGCTAAATTTCATTGACTATAGTTCCACTGCTCTGTTGCTCCACTAGCAGAAATATCACAGTATGCAAGAAGGGCCCATTTGATTTCATGTTAGATATTAGCATCCTGGTTTATATAACGAAAGCACTTAACCATAATTGCAAACCATAAGACCCAAACCTTGAAAGTATGACATTAAAAACTGAAAAATTCTCATTAAAAACAACTCTCTACAGAGTGTCTTATTTACAACAAAAGGTGGTGAGAGGGAACACACCACGTGTAGTAATACTGCTATGGTCGAGGTATTTTGCATGCAACAATCTTAACACCAACAGTATTTTGTTTTCAATTTTATTACACACATAGTTGCAAAGAATGTGAGATGAGGAAACAGAATTATTTTAAGATACTTCGGAAAGAAACAACTGCACCTTAGGCTGCAATCCTATGCTGACTTATTTGAGAGTAAGCTCCATTAAACACACCGAAACTTACTTGTTAGTAGTCAACATGCATAGGGTTACACTGCATTTTTTTAATTATAAGAAATGTACATAGTGGGTGAAGTATCTAAAAAGAAAGAGAGAGAGAGAGAGCATTTTACATATAAAGAATGCCCATCTTGTCTGCAATCCTGTGATGATTTTAGGTGTGAGGCTGAAGAATCCTGAAAAAGATAAAAATATTCAATTATATAATGGGTAGTGACTTTAAAAATTGTTACAATCCTGGCAAAGGACATATATAGACTGGGGATGGAAGTTCCATTTTTGAACTTGTTTAAACTCCTGAAATGTCTTAAGAGATCCCTTGCCATCACAGATACGTCCGACCCAATAGTCACATCTTGCCCAGAACAGCCCAGGAGAACTATGGCCAGGTGAGTCACTTCTCTCTCTCCCATTGGCTGGTTCTATCTGTGGGTAGAGCATGGGGGTTCCAGCTTTGCAATCAAGTGGAGATGAAGGCAGCAAATCCCCCTTCCTTCCAGCACCGTATGACCAATGTCAAACAAGCTGTTGAAGCCAGGTGGACCTGTGAGAACCAAGACTCCTGAGCCTACAGAGACTTCGTGGCATTTTGATCCGTGTGATCTCAGTCCCCAGAATACATTAAATGCATTCAACGTTGCACTCAGGTGGGCAGGGGCTGGACTTAAAACAATCTGCTCTGTAATTTTTTTAAAAAGGGGGCAAGTCACTATTAAATTTAAATTTTGGTAGCCTGATTCTAAGAAGTCATCACAGCAATAATGCAGGTATTATTGCTAGCATAATGCTATGTTGGAAACGGTAATATAACATGCTGTTGGATCTCAAGTTGTAAGGTGACTAATAAAACAAACAAACAAATAACCAAACTGCATACTGACCTGGCCATATGAATTCTGCCTAGGCCATGTGAGATGTGTAGGGCCAGTTCTAGATCTTAGCCCAGGCATGGCCAAACTTGGCCCTCCAGATGTTTTGGGACTACAACTCTCACCCTCCCTAGCTAACAGGACCAGTGGTCAGGGATGATGGGAACTGTAGTCCCAAAATGGAAGGCCAAGTCTGGCCATGCCTGCGACTTAGCCCATGCTATAGATTCCGTTTTTGATGACACAACAATGCTTATTTCAGTGTTGACCATTTCTAACACAATAACACTGATCCTGTTGTACCTGCGTTATGTTGTTGGCTGTTCGCAATCCATTTAATACAATGATTTTAGGTCAGCAAAGTTATCAAACTGTTCCACCATAATTTGTCACCTTCTCAGAAGGGTAAAGAGGTGGGTCACAGAGATACTTTGGATTTAATATTTGGTGAGGGGTGTCATTTTTGTTGCATGGCAAAAATTCTTAAACATTTGGTGTGTATATTGATTGATTAACCCTTATCTACTCGTTTATTGACACTTTCATGTAGTAGAATAGTATAATTTTCATTTACAACTTTTCCTTGCACTACAACTCTATTGCTTGCTTTTTAAAATGTGGATTTTAGACAATTTTCTGTACAGATAGAATGAATGCTCAAAGTCTGTGCTGAGTGAAAAATTAAGGTTTATACCATTTTAACGAAATGTAGCAGATCTCCTTCCATTGCGTGGCTGGAAAAGAAATAATGTCAGATAAGTAGTATCTTGTTGAATGCTCTAAAAAGAATTTTAACTGACTAGGCCACTAAAATTGATACAAAAATGTTAACAATTTTTTTATTTATTAATTTTTATTAGTTTTTATTAAATATTACAGGGGGGGGAAAGAAAAAATAGAAAAAAATCAATACATAACACTGTAAACACATTTGTCTACGTATTTTCCAACATGCAGACTAGAAAAGAAGAGACAAAAGATAAAAGAAAAGGAAAGGAAAAAAAGAAAATACATTTCATAATTAATAATACCAAATTTATACTTCAAACATTACAATATATAAATCTTATTTAAAATATTTTAAAAGACTTCCACTGCATTCACCACACGTCTCTTAGTTTCTAGTTCACATGAAGAACAGATGTAAAGGTGAACAAAATTTTAAACAAATTTAAAGTGGATTCTAAAATGCTTGAATTTGTTTGTTTCAAAATCACCAGCATATTACAAACAAAAAATACACACCCGGAAGATAAAGTAGCCCCTACTTTGAATTCCTCCAGGTATTCGAAGTTCTTCCTGAAAAGAGAATAGATTTCAAAACAACACATTAGCAATGTAGCAACAATTTATGCTGCAACACAAGGGGTCATAAACAGCATGAAATATTGGGAATTTTCTTATTTAAAAATTAAAAAATAATGTAATATTAATTTATAATGACTGCATATCTCTAGGATTTGTGCTATGGCTGGTGGCAGGGTTGGGTGGAGAGTCCAGCCTACTTTTGGTGACAGTTTAGAAAGAGGAATAAAAATAGGCAAACAAAAGAAGCTGTCAGTTACTTCAACGAATACATAAAAAGGTAAAGGTAAAGGTACCCCTGCCCGTACGGGCCAGTCTTGACAGACTCTAGGGTTGTGCACCCATCTCACTCTATAGGCCGGGGGCCAGCGCTGTCCGCAGACACTTCCGGGTCACGTGGCCAGCGTGACAAGCTGCATCTGGCGAGCCAGCACAGCACACGGAACGCCGTTTACCTTCCCGCTAGTAAGCGGCCCCTATTTATCTACTTGCACTCGGGGGTGCTTTCGAACTGCTAGGTTGGCAGGCGCTGGGACCGAGCAACGGGAGCGCACCCCGCCGCGGGGATTCGAACCGCCGACCTTTCGATCGGCAAGTCCTAGGCGCTGGGGCTTTAACCCACAGCGCCACCCGCACCCCTAACGAATACATAGATTTGTGGAAAACTACATTTTTTTTGGCTGAAATTGGAATGAGAAACAGTGCCAAGCTTCTTTATTACTGTGCCTTGGTATAATAAAAAATATACATAAATCTTTTTAATTATTTAATGAATGAGTAACAAAGAAATATTCACACACAATTTAGCTTTTTCTCAATCTATAAGGAGGAAAATAATTCCAGAAAAAGAGGTATGCAGGAAGACAACCCAATAAGAATAGCTATTAATATTAATATTAAAAGCTCTTTGCCTTGCTTAGGGGAGCAGGTAAGACATGTTTAGTTGCCAGCTCTGGAAGGTAAGATTTTTTGTGCGGGGGCTATTCCAAGGTTTTCATTTTACTATGTCTCATTCCGGCTTTATGTGCTATTCCCAGAAGACAACCCTTGCATAAGAGGCAAGTGATCTGTATAGCAAAGCACCCACACCAGCACTCTGTTATATTAGGTACAATATTCTCAGAAGTTAGGCAGTGCAGTTAATCAGTATACCTGCAAAAGCTGTAGCAAGGAAACTGAATGAATTTTAAAAAGTTAGGAGCATATGCCAAATAATATGTGAAATTCAGATATTCAGTGGGTGGAATTGAACTGTGCCATTCCATTTCTGGAAGGGTTTTTGATTCTCTGGTTTCCCAATTAGCTAAGTAGTGCACACCCCTAGTAGTTTTTAAGTGAATGGTTCCAATGACTCCCTGGGTGGGTTACGTGGACCCCTAGGGTGCATGGAGCACCAACTGGCAACCACTGCTCTACATGAAGAAGAAAGAAAGTGATTTTTGCCAACTCTCTCAACTCTCTCCCCTGCAACATTCTGTGCTCCCCCACCCAAAATCTGCTCTTAAAGATTGGTGGGCTCTCCAGAAGCGTGTTGAAGGTACGGGGGGCAGCAGGGGGAAAGAGAATTGGCAAAAATTGCATGTTCTATGAGCAGAGGCCCCTGTTAGATTAAGGACTCTTCCACAAATATTGAATTCAACACATAAATTGCAAATATGATTATCTAAAGGGCACAAGCCCTTTTCAGTCTTGCAAGTCATTCCTTATAAAATGGCTCGCTCTTTTAATTAATAAAATAATTTCAAATACATCTTGTATGTCTTCTGTTTCCTCAAAGGGCACTGCAGGTATTTTCTATTAAATTGTTAATGCATGCTAGCAGCCTGCCTTGATTCCATTATACAACTTTTTATCAGCTGGACACAGTGTTCTCTTCAGAGTTTCAGCATTTGTGCTAAGCAGATTGCTTTCCTCTTTGCCTTCTAGTTAACTTCTTCCAATCAAAATCTGATAACCTCAGGCCGTGATAGTGTTAAGTATGTATTGGCTGTTTGCATCATTTTCCTTTATAACATGGTAAAAGGAGTTCTGAAATATTTATTAGTAGGTCACATACAAAATCATTTGTTCTGATTTCTCCTCTTAAAGGCAAGCGACAAAATAGAATCATTGAATTGTAGAGTTGGATAGTTCTTATTTTAGTTGTTTTTTCAGTACCTCATGGGATTAGAACTGACTGAATTTGAAGCTCTGAAAGGAGAGGAAGAAGGGAGTAGCTATTCATATACATCTGAAGTTTAATTAAATGAGTAGCATCTTAAAAACGGATAGAATGTGGCAATATTCCACCCAGTGTTTTTTATGGTATCACACCTCAGGAAACTAGCTGGCTCTTGAAAACTCAAACTTGGTGACTTGGTGAGGCTGTTATAGCCAGCAACTAGAAGGGACTCTTATTCCAAAAATGCATGCATTACAAAAACAAAATTAAATCTCTCTCTTTTTCCTGGTGACATGAGTCATATTTTAAATTCTCTTGATTTAAAAGCAGCTATCCCGCAGGACGCGGGTGGCGCTGTGGGTTAAACCACAGAGCCTAGGACTTGCTGATCAGCGGTTCGAATCCCCGCGACGGGGTGAGCTCCCATTGCTGGGTCCCTGCTCCTGCCAACCTAGCAGTTCAAAAGCATGTCAAAGTGCAAGTAGATAAATAGGCACCGCTCTGGCGGGAAAGTAAACGGTGTTTCCGTGTGCTGCTCTGGTTCGCCAGAAGCGGCTTAGTCATGCTGTACGCCGGGTCCCTCGGCTAATAAAGCGAGATGAGTGCCGCAACCCCAGAGTCGGCCATGACTGGACCTAATGGTCAGGGGTCCCTTTACCTTTACTTATCCTGGCAGCTCTGCTTTTAAGAATGAAATAAATTTGGATTTTCAATTACTCGACTTTTCTGTCCAAAGTAATAGAGCTGAGTATCTCAGAAAGGATATTTCACAACTGACTGGCAGATCTATTCTTTAGTTGCTTTTCCAAGTAAAAAAACATATGCTAGATGAAACCAGTGGCCTTGAAAAGAAAAGAAGAAAAGAATCTACCCAGTCCAATGCCCTATAGCGTGGAATTGATTGTTCCCAGTGGACCCTATGAGACTGTGAGTCATCTAACAAATTTGCATTTTGCTCCAAGGAAATCTAGTACCTATTCAAAGCTGTGGCAGAGACATCTAATTAGTGCAAGAAATTAAAATGGATACTGACAAAACTAAAATTTGTACCAAGGTCTGTGCCTCCTACAGGTGGCTATGATAGGCAGAGTGGCCTGAAATCACATATTCAGGCAAGTAAGATGATCACTGTTCTGACTGATCACTGTTAGTTCACTTCTGCTAGCCCTTGTCTCCCCCACTGCCCGTGGCTTTAATAAAATACTAGCAGGGATAAATCAAGGTTCAACAGTGCCACTTTTGCTGCTATTACCAGGGTCAAAGATCAGGTCACAGGACAGGCTGAAGAGCACTAATATTGTTCCGTGCAGCCTTGGTACCAGGATATTAAGCCTGATCCTATAAGATGCTGTCCCCACATAGGACTAGCCCTTTGAACGACATTATTACAATCCTTAATTTCAACCAGCATAGCACAACCTCAAATCCAGCCATTCAAAAGGAAAGATAATACAGTTGTTTAGATGTATAAAATGGTCAATTATTAGATTTTTCCAGTTTATGTAACTTTCTAAAATGACATATAGCAACATACACGTAACTCTTCTGAAGAGGAAACATAATGCCGTGCTTTAAAGAAAGCACAAAGACTGTATCAGTCAATCTTGAAAGACGGTATAATGATACAGAATAACAAACAGCATGTTTTAGAAAGAAAAATGGATCGTTACATACGTCTGCTTTGTATCTCTTCAGTCTCCTCTCATGCAGTTGTGGAACAAGTTGCAGCAAAGGATGCAGGACAGACGACTGAGAGGATATGAATACAGACACATGAAAGACAATGAAATCCAGGATGTATAAACACAAACAAACAAAACCCTTCACTGCAGCACTGACTCAAAAACAGAGCACACAAAGCAAAAGATGGAAGACGTTTGATGGGACAATACTTTTAGACATTTCCATAGCTGTTTCTGATGTTGCAATTTCCTGCATAAATGCACACTGTTAAGCTTCTTTGATGAGGAAATAACTAGCGTCAACAAGTACCATTCCTGTGTTTGTTGCAAGCTTGACGTGGGTATGCAAGATGCACTGCTTGCAAAAGCAAATGATAGCTGAGTGTTTGTTGTCAGGGCCTCAGGTAGCAGAATCCCTGGACACACACCTTCTTGCCTCCGGAGAAGCAGCTACAATGGATTCTCCATTCTGGCAAGATCTCACAAGAACCCTACAAGATCACACAGGTACCTCCAGAGGCTTCCGTGACTTCTTGTGGGGCTCTCATGAGATCTCACCAGAAGCTCTGTGACCCCAGTAAGCGAGGCTTTGGCAAGGGCAGCAAAGAGGTTGGTGTGCAGTGTGTGCACTTTCCTGTTTCACCTCAGGCAGTGAAATGGGATGAGCTGCCTCTGCTTGTTGCCATGAGCCATCTAACACCACAGACATTAGATAAAGCTCCCTATGGTTTCTTGCTAGGTGAACAATCTCAGGATAATGCCAAGTTCCTAGATATCCAGACAGGAAAAGTTTGCAAACACAGGAAGAACTCATAAATCCAAGCAGCATCCAACTAAACAGATCTTGTAGTGCAAGAACATTTGGCTCTGCAAAGGAACTTTCCCACCCTCTTCTCTCACCTGCATGTACACATACTCCCTAAATATGTTCTGCATGTAACCCCAAGGCTTTGGGGAGGGCACAGGGAGCACATAGGGAGAAGAGAGGAGAGGGGAATTTATATTATGCATGCAGAAATCATTGCACTAGCATATCTGTTTAATAGCATTTCATACATAATTCTTCGTCTTGGTCACAAAGAAGAACTTGCCTCATTAATCAAGGAGTAGTGTCCCTTTATCCTACACAGAACCCCACGATCTATATGCCGCCTTCCAGAAGCCCTCCACAATACAAGGTACAATATTTAGGAGAAAAGTTGAAGCTGAAGCTTCAGTGAGGCCAAAATACTTGAATGGCAACTCAATTTCAATATGCTAAGTTAGTCTGAAGGCACACAGCCAAGGTAGATGTTTATGGAATTGTTGTTGTTTTTATTTTGATTATGCATTTTGTGGTTTTATATTTTGATTTTATTCTGTGAACCGCCCTGAGACCTGCATGTATAGGGAGGTATATAAATTCAATAAATAATTATTATAATAATACTGCTAAAAAGCAGCAGTTGCTGGCCACAGTTGAAACAATTCTGGGCTTCCTTACCTCCTGCTCTTCTTCATTCCTTACAGTGCATTCCTAAACAAGTCTGTAAGCCACACTGAGTTAAATGGGACACTCTCAGGTAAGGGTGTATAGGATTCAACCTCAGTCTATGTGCATTCTGCTCTACTGCTTTCCTTACTTCCCCCAGGAAACCTCAAGCCTAAATTTTTGTTGCCCTACAAACCTGAATCCCAAATCAGAATAAGCCGCTCCGCAAGTGCTCCCAATATGTGTGCAGCATCTGTTAGTGGTCAGGGCATAACTGAACAGCACTGCACATAATGTTTCTCAAAAATATTACATTTATATTCTTGTTTAAAAAATGCAAAACATTTCATGCAGCAGATATATAACCATTATTCGCTAAATATATTAATTGCATAATGGTCTATTCTGCACCCATGAGGCTCAAAGCTAAAGATAAAATACATCTTCTTATTCTGCGATTTCATAATGAGTTAGGTGTGGTTCTAATATAATTAGTTTTATCAAAAGATTTGTGTGGGGTTATTTACTCAAATACTGTGAGAAATCAAAAGCCCAGCTTATTTAATGTATGTTTTAAAGTGTATTTGAATTTCCATTGGTGTATAAACTTGGTGATAAGCTAAACATAATAAAATGTACAACTTCTATGGGATTGCAACATTTAATTATTAAGACACAAAGTAGCTTCCAAGATATAAACCCCAAAGAAATTGCATATTCGTGACAGCTTTGTCACTTTTTGCTACAAAATATTTCTATATTTATAACATTTTAGTAATATGCTGCAACAAAAAATCCATTATATTGTCTATTGGTATGAAGGAATCAGACAACAGTGGCAATAAACATAGAACACTGATTATGTTACAAAATGAACAGTAAGTAAACAGATACAAACTTTAATGTAAGACACAGGACTGTGACTGGTGTTTTGGTGGAACTTTAAAAGAAAGACCTTATGTAAAATGTTATTCCATTATGTCTGCATATAGGATATTGTTTGTTTGTTTGTTTGTTTGTTTGTGATAAAACCCCCAAAAAGAAATATTTTAAACTGTTCTTTCTGAAGAAAACTTTATTTTAGAATTCACACTATCTATATTTGTAGCTGGAATCCTTAATAAAGGAACTAGTATTAACTTTATTGTATTTTAGAATAAAAACATTAATTTGTATTAGAAGACTATTTAGCTTTAACTTTAAAATTTTTAGGTTATGATTACCTCAGATATGTCTTTAGTCAGTTCCATATATGTCTGTCACTCGGCATCCATTTCTTTCCTTTTTTTATTATACAAGTTTTACTAAATTTAGAACCTCTGGCATTCACATTTAGCTTTCATCTGTTGTAACTAGGCTATAAGCAAGATTGTTTCTTGGTTTTAAAAACTTTTTACAGATTAGGAATTCAATATCAGGCGGAATCAACTGAAGCCCCAATAATAATGATAATATCATGTTGTCTTTACTCACAGGGGAATGGGCAGTTCAACTTACCAGAATGTCTGAGTTGCCTGTGTCATGGGTCTTAGAATAATGGAATAAGAACTGTTCAAAGAAATTAAAAGTGGATTTTACTTTGAAACAGATTACTATGTAATGATTTTTGAGACAGTTAATACACAATAAAAATTTTTTTAAAAAAAACAAGGAGCTTACTCTTTTGGTGTTGTCCTTTTCATCTGACTCCTGTGGAAATAATTGGCAAAGACTTTCAACAACCAAGGAGTGGACTTTTGGGGGAAACAAAATAGCTTGGTACAGTACTTATCGTTTTTGGTATCTTTGGAATTGTTGATTGGGTCTGCAATCCTAGGCACTTTTATTTGAGATTACTCAGCTCCATTAAATTTACTTCTGGGATTTGCTTCTGAGTTAACATGCATAGGACTGCACCATTAACTGTTTAAGATTTTAAGTATTTTATATTCATTTCTTCTCCACAGTAGCTATACTCCACAGAAACCATACGGAATCAATATTTTTCTCCAGAACTGTCATCTGGCTGTTCACTGCAATTGGTTCAGAAGTCTGAGTCTACATGGAATGCGACAACTGCTTTACAGAGACAGGCAATGGCATTAGATAATTCTGCAAGATAATTTGGGCCGTGAAACCACAATCAAGAATGAATAATTACTGAAACACAATACTCCACCTAATACATTGCCAATATTTCTGTGCATTTCATACTCTCCTTATTGGTTTTGGTTTCAGTTTCTTACAGAATGCAATAGTTGCGGGGAATGGCACACTTTCTCAGAAAGTTCTACCATTATAATAACAAAAACTACAATGTGAAGTAGAATTATATCATGAAAGTATTCCAAGGATAATTGTAGAATACATCTTACCTCAGGGTAATATTTTGTCCTGGGGAGAACAAGCTATACAGGGCACTAAAGACTTGTCCCTAGAAATCTTATCTTATCCAGCTAACACCCTCTGGATTCTGATATCTCTCTCTTGATACGTCCACACACACTAGCTTATCTTTGTGGCTGCCCTATAGAGCCCACTAGCACCAGAAACCTTGTTTATTGAACGTGGTAACTGAGATAAGATTCTAAATTGCACACCAAGGGCACCAGCATCTCAAAAAAACATTGAAAGAGAGGGGAGACACAAGATTAGTCTATGAGTCATATGAAGGTTAAGTGGCCCATCTTTCCACTAAGGGTTTGTTCTGTTTTTAAGCAACCAAGGAATTATTGAGCTGAAAGTACACACAAATTCCCAACTGCAAAATGTTAACAGTATTGATTAGTAATAGCGGACTCCAAACCGCCAGCTGGCACACATTCTGTTCTATTAGACTTTCTAGAGAAACAGCAACACATAGCTTTGCATCTGTACTACTTCTCAGACATCAAAGAGCAGTTTTGCTACCGTGTAAGTAAACCTAGTTTTCTGCAAAGAGCCCTGAAGCACTTGCTGCCAGAGAGCCACAAAGCTGAGAATTATATCAGTATTTATTATGCACTGAACTGCACAATTGCAATGCCCTACACTGTACAAAATATGCTGGCAGCCATGTTTCGGAAATAAAACGTTAAGTGGATTTACCTGAGCTTTGTGTAGAAGTTCCAGAATCATATAGCAAAGTTCTTCCAATGTATTAGAGGACTAAAGGGGGGGGGGAGAGAAGAAGAATCTGAGGGACGTGATAAATGAAGCAATAGCACCTACTTTGACAAATTTAGCATATTTGTATTTTTATTATTATTATTATTATTATTATTATTATTATTATTATTATTATTATACTGGACTGACCTGAGATGGAGTATCCCTGACCAGGTAAGTAGAGCACACATCATCTATCTGTAAATATAGACAAGAGAGCAAACATAGCATAGGATTGAAAAAGAAGCAAAATAGTAAAATAAGAGGTTGAGTTTTATGTGAGGTCCCATCATTTTTAATATTAAGTTGACAGAGAACGAAGGCTTACCACCACCACCACCCCTCAGAAAGCCAGACAACTGGACACCCCTTCCTAAAGAGGAGTTTGCACCCAACGTTGTGACAAGCCTTCACGAAACAGCAACTCAGAGCTCACTCAAGCATTTTAGCATAAGATTAGGAGCATTTGGCAACACCAAGTCCTGTGTAATACACATGAGAAGTCTGTCCATGAGAGACACTAGCCAGATCTTATCTGACGGATCAGAGAACAGAACTTTTAACGCTAATATTAAGACCCATCTTAACAACAACAAAATCTAACCAGAGTAAAGGTTTAAGCCTGAAAAGAGCTAAGAGCCTAATTCCTGAAAGCATGGACATTAGTCTTGTTAAACCTTGTCAGGATACAAGCTCTTTTACTGGCGATATTCAGCCACAGCTGTTCTAAAGCGTCACTTTTGCTCCTTCAATCTGCACCGTAGAAGTGTGTTGCGCACACTATCTCACATTGCCGACAGCCCCTTACCACGCCATTCTTGTATTGGAAAGCAGATTGCTCCTTTCAAATAAAGATAACATATATTGTTCTTAAGGAACTACAGCAGGTGTGCTAATAATAATAATGATAACAATAAATGCCTTTTCTAAAATAAAAAAAACTAAACAGTACAGAAGATATTTCACTGTACCTCATTTGATAACTGCAAATCTGGTTCTCCTTGTAGAACATGGGGTGCCATCGGTGCACCTGGAAATTAGAATTAATTGCCTGTTCATAATATTATTTATAATACGGGTTCTCTGGGGTGTTAGGGGAGGGGTAGTACCTCTGGTGGGGGACACATCATGCTCCTTCTGGGGTAGTTTGTCCACCTTTGGTCCCCAACCTGCATTCAGCTCTCACCTGAGGCTCCTAGAAGCTGTCAGCATGCAACAATGGCCACACCCCAGGTGCAACTTTGAGTGGCCATCTAAACCAGGTGAGGGCAAGCCAATGGCTCTCAGACCCTTGGTGAGTTAGGGATTTCCCCTGCATGTGAAGACAAGTTCCAGTGGATTGAGTGAATGAGACCAATGGTGGAATATTATTCCTCTATGCTACAGGAGCGGCAAGGATTCTAATTGCTAAAAACTGGGTAAAAGAAATTTTGCCAACAGAAGTGGAATGGCAAGACAAACTGTTAGAGTATATTGAACTGGCTAGATTAACAGAGGCAATTAGAGATCATACTAGACAAGAATTTCAAAAAGCATGGGGGGAAATGCAAAGAATACTTCACAAAACAGTGCCCTAAAATTCATACCTGGACTTGTTTCGATTAATGTCTGCAGGAGACTTTGTGGATATTTAAGTTATAATTAGAAAAATCTTAATAATTATTCATAAAGGAAACAGCTTATATGAAGTAAATAAGGATGCCAGAAACAGGATAAAGGAAGTCTTTTATTTGGTTGTTTGTATTGCTGTAAATTATGCTTGCTGTTTGTTATGTTTGTGTCTGATGGGGGTGGATTTCTGTGTTGGGGGGTGGGGGGGTTTGTGCTATGTTGTAAATAAAATTTCCAAAAAGAAAAAAGAAAAAGAGACCAATGGTGGGTCCAACATTCGAGAAGATGGTTTCTGCACATGCTGTAAAGGGGCAGGTGGGGCTTGTCAACCTGGGAAGGTAGCCCATTTAGGAGAAGGAAAACTCTGATCCTAAACCTCTGCTGCCTTGCTGGATGTCTTCAGTAGAATAAGAGGCTAAGGAGTAAACCCTACACAAATCCAGAGTGGAGTCCCTAAGGATGGTGACTTGTAACACCTCCTTCCAGCAACTCCTGGTGCCAAACATATTGTTTTGCTTTCCTTTGGACCACATCAGTGAGGCTGAGAAGGGGGTCTTGTTGTGTGGGCAGCCCAGGTCCTCCATACACACTGCCCAGGCTTGTGCCCTGGAGAGGTCGCTTCAGAGCTGCTAACAGAGCAAAAGCAATGTGGTTTGACTTCACCCCTGGAGGCACACTCTATTGCCAATATCAATATGGGGTTCTCTAGCTTTTATGTGTGAGCATTTGAGTGAAAATTAATGAATGTCACAAACAAGAGAATGATGTTACGATTCAAAACTTAATAGCACCACAAACAATTTAGGCACTGAATATAAAGTTCTGTAGTGTATCAATTGGTCTGGTTTTTGTTTATTTGTAGCCAATGGCCATTTCAATGTAACTCACAAAACCAAGACAATTTGCAAGTAAGTTAAACATGTATATTTTCAGAAATAAATATTTCAAGCTACGGAAAGAACAAAAATGAAAGATATTAATGATGTATCTCAGATACAAGGAGGGCTTCACACAGAAAAGAGTTGTTGTTTTTTTAAAAAAAAGCAAGGAAGTTTTCTGAAACTGTAAAAGTATTATTTAAAGTTGTCACTAATTCTATTTACTATTTAGCACCCTGTTAAATTCCACATAAAATGACAGGGAGACTTTGTATTGAACAAGGGGTTTTTCTTTTTGTTCAGTAAAAAAAAAATGGAACGTTAAGCTTGGTCAGGGAAAAAAAAATACTTCCTTACGCAAATTGGTTAGAAATGAATAAGCTCCTATACAAAACTCCTGTTAGAACAAGACATTGTCCCTACAAAGGCATGTTCCATACCTCCATTTTCTGAGACGATGTAAAAACAGGTGGGCACCCCCACAATTAAATGTTTGTCCACAAGGAAAGCTTTTTAGTGAAAATTTCAGAGCATATGAAAATTGTAATTGTTGCCTTCAGTGGCCTGCACTTTTATTGCTATTACAGAAATATATCTACTACCGATTCATGTGGCAAGCGATCTTCACTGGCAGATAATAAGAACTGGAGGGGGCAGAATCATATTTAATATTTGGAAAGAGATTGTCTATTCTGACTTTTTAGCTGCTTTCAGTCTTTGCAGTGTGTAATGTGAAAACAAAGGACAGAAATAAAACATTCCTTTACATTTTTATTTGCCCACAATTATACTATGCATAGCAGTGTGTAAATTACTATTAGATTACTATGTTTTTCTTCTTTGCCATATTTATGAAGATTTCAAAATTATAAGTAAGGTGACTATGGAAATACACAGCAAGTAATGAAGGTTATTCTGTTCTGCATTTCACGCTTTTATTTTACAGATGCAAACTACATCTGTGTATTACATTCAAGTCAAGGGAATAAAATAAATAGCTTTGTTCAGGATTAACTTCTTGTTCATTTCCCCATACCTTTTCTTTTTCTTTTGGTAAATCTAATGGACTAGAATAGAAGAAACGATTGCTAACTATACTCTGCACAAATTCCTCTGAACTTCAGAGTTGAAATTAAACTGACAGCTACTTTATTATTAAGATGTTCATTCAGGGTTGTGTATATCACCCTTTAACATGCCCATCCTACATGCAATCAGGATGATTAAAGAGTAGACATTTTCCATCCACGCTTAACAAGGGAGGGGAGAGTCTAAACCACAGAACGGATTGTGAATAGAAAAGAAGGACACTTGTTTTTTATCCTACTTTCCCTACAAAATTTATCTCCCACATTAGTTTAAAATCCAGTAAAGTGCTGATGCTCAGACAGGCGCTGAACAGAAAAATGCTACACATATCATTTACTGTGATCTTAACTAATCTATAGTAGACGTAGGTGACTTTCTGTTATGTGCCGCATAATTTACTCTGAAAGTGGGAACAACGACCTGTACTAAAATGCTATTGCTGGTTTACTTCTACTACAGGACAGGATTTTAAAATCTGCTCTACATCATTTTTATAATAAATTGACAGCGGAAATCTGACCTACCACCTTATGGGACAATTCCATACAACGTGCCTTGGAGTCTCGTATAAGCCAAAATGCAATAAATTACAAACAGACCTATATACCATGCCAAGAAATGACAAAACTGATAAAACTGTTGTGGTGGATAGGATGGTATTAGGCTGCCGTGAGACGACATCAGCTTTTGAGTTTCACATAATTCCTCATCAGGCACAAAGGCAAGACATTTTCGGGCACAGCATACATAGAGCAAACTGGACCATAACCCTCCATCCTTCTCCCTGACCAAAGATCTGCAGCTGTCTGCCAGCATCTCAGTGGACCAGGGAAGAGCTGCTACCTGTTGGTGTCCGCCTGCCGCCTGCCTAGCCTGCACCAACGAAATGCAGAATCCAGAAAGAAGGCCGGGTCGCTTTGCTTCTTTGCAAAGGGCTGAAAAGCTTTGCCTTCCTTAACAGCGCGGGATTTCTAAAGCTGCAAACCGTCGTGTGCGTGCACGGTGGCCCTTTAAAAACAGAGGTTTGTCTCTCTTTTTATGCATCTTTGTTTTGGAGGTAACTAGCTCGAAATATGTTCACAGTGTAATTAAAAGAACTCCAAGGAAATAACTGGCTGAAATTGCATTAATTGATGACTTTAGTAATAAAGGTAAAGGCATTTAATATCAATATTAAACCCAGTAAGAGATGAATCTGTCATTCTACAGGGAAGTTGAACCAACATAAAGAAATGCTGTGCTGATAAATGCAGAGACGTTGCCCTTACCTTTGCACGCGCTCGCCCCAAAGGCGAGGAGGAAGAGGAGCAAAGCCCAGGCGGTTCCCGGGCCAGACCGCAGCTTCCTGGGGTTGGAGCGGCGGCAGGTGCTGCTGCTACCGCCGTCGGCCGCAGGCGGCGCAGGCTGCTCTTGCCGCCGCCAGCAGGCGCTTCCCCTTTGCATGGCTTCCGTCCCCGCTTTTGGCGCGCGCGGCGTTCTTCCCCTCGAGTTGGCGCGCGCGCGCTTTTCCCGCCGCTCTGCTCCCAGCCAGAGGAGCCTGGGCTTTTAAATCTCCCGGACATGAGGAAGCCAGGCAGGCAGGAGCCTGACTCACGGCGACCACGTGACCCCGCCCTCCTCAGCCTCTCCTTCCCGCGCGAGACTCCGAGCAGTTGGGATCATCTGCCGCGCGCGGGAGGCGACGGCGGGGAGTAAGTGACTTCCAGCCCGTGGCAAGAGGTGGCTCGTGAGGGGCGTTGGAAACCCCGGGGGAGGGCGGAGGTTCACACCCCCAGGGCGTGGGAGCCACTTCGACCTCAGACGCCTCAGGGAGCAGAGGGGAGTCCACGACTATTACAAGGAATAGTAATAATTTGTTCGTTGTTTAGTCGTGTCCGACTCTTCGTGACCCCCTGGACCAGAGCATGCCAGGCACTCCTGTCTTCCACTGCCTCCCGCAGTTTGGTCAGACTCATGCTGGGAGCTTCGACAACACCGTCCAACCATCTCGTCCTCTGTCGTCCCCTTCTCCTTGTGCCCTCCATCTTTCCCAGCATCAGGGTCTTTCCCAGGGAATCTTCTCTTCTCATGAGGTGGCCAAAGTATTGGAGCCTCAGCTTCAGGATCTGTCCTTCCAGTGAGCACTCAGGGCTGATTTCCTTCAGAATGGAGAGGTCTGATCTTCTTGCAGTCCATGGGACTCTCAAGAGTCTCCTCCAGCACCAGAATTCAAAAGCATCCATTCTTCGGCGATCAGCCTTTTTTATGGTCCAGCTCTAACTTCCATACATCACTACTGGGAAAACCATAGCTTGAACTATACGGACCTTTGTTGGCAAGCTGATGTCTCTGCTTTTTAAGATGCTGCCTAGGTTTGCCATCGCCTTTCTCCCAAGGAGCAGGCGTTAATTTTGTGACTGCTGTCACCATCTGCAGTGATCATGGAGCCCAAGAAAGTAAAATCTCTCACTGCCTCCATTTCTTCCCCTTCTATTTGCCAGGAGGTGATGGGACCAGGCAAATAAGACAACAGGCATATAAAAATAGTACAGTGGTACCCTGTGTTACATACGCTTCAGGTTACAGACTCCACTAACCCAGAAATAGTACCTCAAGTTAAGAACTTTGCTTCAGGATGAGAACAGAAATCGTGCTTCGTCGGCGCGGCAGCAGCAGGAGGCCCCATTAGCTAAAGTGGTGCTTCAGGTTAAGAACAGTTTCAGGTTAAGAACAGACCTCCACAACGAATTAAGTACTTAACCTGATGTACCACTGTAATAGTTTATTCATATGCAGCCCGTCTGGCTGGGTTGCCCCAGCCAATCTAGGCGGCTTCCAGCAAATGGAAACATCACAGTAAGACATCCAACATTAAAAAAATTCCCCATATAGGGCTGCCTTCAGGTCATAGAATAGTAGAGTTGGAAAGGGACCCCAAGGGTCATCTATGTACTTTTAAAACGTGGTTTTCTTTGACTACTGAACCAGAGACTCCCCAAGCCTGAAATGCTGAAGACCACCTCCCACACCAGCAGCACCAAGACTAAAATGCCAAAGTTCCTTGCACCTGGATCTCCCAAGGCTGCAGCTCCACAACCTGGTTCCTTTGCAGGGCCAGAATACTTGTCTCCAACAGCCCTGCAAACCACTGATTTAGGGCATTAGTGCCGGCAGCATGAGCTTGCAGAGTGCTTGAGTGCTAAGCTCCAGGTCAGAGGGCTGCCTTCTTAAGTCTTTGTATTCCTCATCAGGGAGACAAAACCTAAGAGGGGACGTCAAGTTCAGAGAGCACAAAAAGACTCAGTTGAGGCTGACCTGGTTGGAACAAATTGTTTGTTTCCTGGGCTCTGTCCAGGGTCCTGAAGACCTATTTCCTTGTTTTCAGAAGATCTAATCTTGAACAAACCCTGCCTGTTTCCTGGCTGCCCTCTCCTGCCTCACACCACTTGCCCGACTTGCACTCTCCATGGTCTCTGGTTTACCATAATAGGATATGTGCCAAATACTGCTATAATAGACAAAGATCAGCTGTCAACATAATGCCACCTTGACAAAGATTTTGCAACATCACAGCAACATCATAAGGCTTTCAACAATATTAATGTTTACCTGCTAGTCTAATGTATGGTGAAAAGTTAACTAGTTTCTCAGCTGAAGTCCCCTGTGAATATGATGAGGATATACACATTTTCTTTTACATCCACCAGTATGTTAATTAATACCCTTTTCATACATTTACATATTTTTATACAAAACTGAATAAGAACAGATTTAATAGTCCTTTTTTTTCTTGACCTTGATCACTTTCCATATAACAGTGAAATGTCTTAATACATTAGGAATCATTATAGAATAACTGAAACGAAAAGCACTTTAATAACCCACAGGAAGAAAAAGTGGATCACGAGAAAATTAGAGGAGACTTATTAAAATGCTATGCAGCAAACACATAATTCACTAGGGCTGTTTTGTTCAGGCATATGTATCACAATTCATCATTACTTGTTTACTCAACTCTCGAGGCAATTTACCAACAAAGGTAAAAGTAAAACCATGTGTAAAGTTTATTTTGCTACACTTACCTATGTGTGAAAGTCATAGCATGGGCAGGAGTCAATGTAAATATCATGCTCTGGCCTGACACTTGCTGAACAAATTGCCCCATGTGTTCATCCTACTGAAACCAGCATTGGAATCACACCAGCATTTGCACCTTTCTTCTCGGCACACATCTAATACTTCTTCCCAGTAAATGTTTCTAAAGGTCTTCTCTGCAGTTGTCTTTCTTGTTGCAGTTTAGCTTCTTCCTTTTCTTTTTAGCCAACTCAGAATATCTCTGGTCAATTTTCAGATCCAGTTTCAATCACGAACTGCCAGACTCATACCCTTAAGAACTCAGTGTGCTGTGGTCACCTGCAGATCTAGCAGGAACAAAGGACATCCACCTTTGGATGCCAGCGTGGTGTAGTGGTTAAGAACGGTGGACTCGTCATCTGGTGAACCAGGTTCACTTCCCTGCTCCTCCACATGCAACTACTGGGTAACCTTGGGCTAGTCACACTTCTCTGAAGTCTCTCAGCCTCACTCACCTCACAGAGTGTTTGTTGTGGGGGAGGAAGGGAAAGGAGAATGTTAGCCGCTTTGAGACTCCTCAAGGGGAGTGAAAGGCGGGATATCAAGTCCAAACTACTACTACTACTACTACTACTACTATTCTTCTTCTTCTTCTTCTTCTTCTTCTTCTTCTTCTTCTTCTTCTTCTTCTTCCAGATCAGACTCCTGCCCATCTCACTTTGTCCTATATAGCCTGACTGGCAGCAGCTCTTTGGGAGCACCACCAAAGTTCCTTCACATCGTTTGCTACCCGATACTTTTAACAAGATATGCCAGGGATTGAACTTGGTAGGGAGCTTCTACATGTGCTTTTCTGCTGAGCTGTCTTGCCTCCCAGTAATTTGCAGATCATAGTTCTTGGTTCTAAGTGCTGTGCTGTACCAGGACTTAATAGAGGAAGTCTTAATGGTTTTTATTTTAAAAACGAAAAAGGGGTTTCCTGCTCTACTGCTTGTCTCTACCCAAGCTGACCCCATGTCCCCCACCCGCACTTCCATATACTTCCATATGCCTCTATTTTGCTTTTTTAAAAACAGAAATACCTTCTCCCCTCTACTCTCTCCCACTACCTCTGAATACCATATTGTCTTACAGTGAACGTAACAAAAAGACTTTATCATCTGAACAACAACAAAAAGAGACATTGCACATTCTCTTGTAATTCATGAAAATATTTAATTATTTAATTATTATTTTTTAAATGGAAATATTGAAGCATTCAGAAATGGGCAGCCTGAACAATCAGCCACAGACCATGAGCCTTTCCCACCCTATTTATATCATGGAATGCTACATTTCCTCTTCCTGCAATGCTCTTTATTAATTCAATTTACAGGCAGATTGTGGAACAAAATGATTTATTTGCTTTGAAAAGTGACAATAATAGCAAATGATGTTGCATATTTAAATTTAGTGGGAGATACAATAATAAATTGGGATTCTCAACAAGGATAAACCTACATTCAGCTCTGCAGTTCCTCTGGGGTCACAGTATTGGAAAGAGGGGAACTCATAACAAATTCTCATTTTATTCTTCTGAAAGGCACTGATGGGGGAGCCAAGTCACTTCATTATATCTGACCAACTATTGCCCAGCCAAACCTGGGTATCCTTTGAATTTTGCCATCCTAAACTCAATGCAATGACTTTAGGTTTGGTCTCATTCCATTGCACAGCCCACAAACACAAGCATCAGCTACGTTCCTGTCACTGAGATTTTAATCCACGAGGTACCATGCCCTCAGAACGCTAAATCTGTAGAGGTCTACCATGTTTCGGCATGCACTTATTAGAACTATAAGAATGTACTCTCAGCTTCACAATTAACCAAATTAACTTTTTGAAAAAGCATACAAGGGGCAGCTGCAAACCTTTTACACTGCCCTCTAATAAAAGCACAATGTAGCCACTGATACTTTCCGAAGCCTGTTACTCTATAGCATGACCTTTTTATGTGCCTGTCTCAAGCTAACAACTGTCCCCCAAAGTTACTACCCTAGAAATACCTTAATTAGTGCACCTGTCCACACGCACCTATGTTGGTTAGTGTGGTGTAGTGGTTAAGAGCGGTGGACTCATAATCTGGTGAACCAGGTTCGCTTCCCCGCTCCTCCACATGCAGCTGCTGGGTGACCTTGGGCCAGTCACACTTCTTTGAAGTCTCTCAGCCCCACTCACTTCACAGAGTGTTTGTTGTGGGGGACGAAGGGAAAGGAGAATGTTAGCCACTTTGAGACTCCTTCGGGTAGTGATAAAGTGGGATATTAAATCCAAATTCTTCTTCTTCTTTGTGGCTTTTCACTGCCTGCCACCAGCCAGGAGTTCTTCAGCAGGGGGCTGGTGAGAGCCTTGAAGGGGACACCTCTGCACAGCCCACCTCTGCCCCAGCCCAATGCAAAGAGGTTTTGGATTGTTCTACCAGACACATGCCCTACACCAAATTATGTACATAAATAAACCCTAGCCTTCCTTGCAGAAAAAGCTGTGTTGCTAAAGATGTCCTAAAAGGTATAAAGAACCAACACATGCTGTTATTATGACAAAGAACAATGCATGTGCTGTTTTCTAGATAGACAAATAAGGAATAAAGCTTTATAAAGCCTGAATTATTTTGTTTCACGTATGTGAAGGTTGAAAACCACACAGAGGTTTCAAGAATGACAAGAGCAGGTGGCTAATCATGTTTTTCTGCCCTTTGCAAAATGCTTTGCAATAATTTTCAGAATTCTAGTAACCACAAACTGTCATAGGCAGTGGGCAGATGCGTCCTGGTCTTAGTTCTGCTGTATTTGTTTCTGCCTGTGGCAGAATTTCATTGACAGAGCAGACACAACTCATTACTTCAAGGGTTCAGGCTTCGGCATAGTTCTTGAGGAAGTGCACACCTTGAAATGTCATGACCTTTTCTAGCAGAGGGGGGAAATGGCACTAAAAGGGGGGCACAATGATGGGGGCACAAGGGGGGAATGAGAACAGGAGAGAGTACTCAAAAAGTTTTTGAAAGATTGCATATTTTCAGCACATCATTATGCTTTTATGTGGGTGCTACTGAATATGTCAAGGAAAAAATGCTCTACAAATTGTTGGGCCAGGGGAAAACCACTTAGCATTTCATTTTTAACAAAATGTTGCTAAGAATTTGGATAGTATTCACTGCAGCATGTTAAAAAGATAGGGGGAGGGGAGTCTGTCTGCAGTCATAAAAAATCTGATTGACTATAATGGGGGTCAGGATTTCACCTGAAGACATTTATGGAATATTAATAAAGTGATATGTCATGAACTTCAAGCCACTTATTTCAGAGTATTGTTGTGCAAGCCCCAAAAAAATGAAGTCTGTGAGTTTACCCAGAATAATTCTACTGCAGTTAATGTGACCATTCTGGCATATGAATTGCAGCATAAATTGAGGGGAATTTATAATAGAACTAACACTCTTATAAAAGGAGACAAAGTTTGACGTACATTTCTTTATCCTAGAAGCCAAGCTCAATGTAAAAAGCAGGGCTGTAAGATCTCCTCATCAGACAACGCATGTAAGTCAGGCACTTTTTTGTCCTCCCTAATCAAATTGTTGAAATCAGAAAATTTCCCTCTTGTGTTTTCCCCTCTAGCTTTATCTCTGCACATTTCTCTTCATCACTCACATCAAAGGACTTCCATCAACTAGTGCAGTGTTTCCCAACCGGTGTTCCGCGGCACACTAGTGTGCCGCGAGACGTTGCCTGGTGTGCCGTGGGAGGGAGGCGGGCGAGTTGGGCGGCGAGAGGCGGGGCGGCGGCGGCGAGGATCCGCGTCGAGCCGGGGCGGCTACGCGGTGGTGGTGCCGAGGTTTCTCTTTCCATTCTCCCCTCACACACACACACAGGAAATAACACAGGATCAGCTGACAGGACCCGGCCAATGGGGCGGCGGCGGGGCAGCGCGCGCAAAAGGGAGGAGCGCGAGACAGCGGACAAGGAGGAGGCCGGCATGTCCGGGCAGCAGCAGCAACAACAGCAGCAGCAACTCCCGGCGACGGCTCCTCAAGCCCCGGGCAACCCTACTCCCTCACCGGCCTCGGCCGCCCTCCTGCTCCACCCGCCGCCGCCTCCCCCGCTGCCGCCGGCCACCTCGGCCCCGCCGCCGCCCCCTCCTCCGCCCGCTATCGCCGCCGCCTCAGCTGGGCCCATGCCTGCCGGGAGCGGCGGCGGCAGCAGCAGCAGCAGCGCCCCGGCGCCCTTCCCTCACGGCGGCGACCCGGCCAGGAGAAGGAGCTCAAGCGGCGCCTCAAGCGGCTCTACCCGGCCGTGGACGAGCAGGAGGAGGAGTTGGAGGAGTCCCCCAGTCCCTCGCTTTGCTGCCTCCTCCCCCCCACCCCCAAAGCTTGGAGGCAGTGGCGTAGCGTGGGGGGTGCGAGGGGTGCCGGCCGCACCGGGCGCAACATCTGGGGGGGGCGCGAGTCCAGAGGGAAGGGACAAGTTCCTTCCTCCGCCAGGCTCCCCGCCGCCGCCGCCAGCCTTGCGCCCTAGCGCGTGCGCGCCCCCCGCTGCCGCTGCGCTCCACTCACTGCTCACAGGAGGAGCAGCCGCTGCAGCAGCGCCAACGCTGTGTTTATAAGCAGAAGCAGGGATGGTTTGTGCTGCTGGAGTGGCTTCTCCTGCTTTTGCAAAGCAGCGCAGGCGGAAAAAGGAGAGCGAGAGGCTGGGCAGCGGGTGAGGCAGCGGGAAGTGTGTGTGAGCGAGGCGCCGCCGTTGCGAAGCATGTTGTTTACATGCCAAGGGGTGCCTTGTGGAAACAGGGTGGCGAGGGAGCGCGCAGGAGAGGCAGCAGCAGCGCAAGGCTGACATAGGCTGAGTCAGCAAAGTTGGGGGCTTGGAGCAGGGATGGGGTTGGGGGGTGAGAAAGAGGCAGGCGGAAAAGGAGCCACGGGGGGGGGCAGCACAAGTGTGTGAGTGTGAGAGAGGAAGTGTCGGAAATAGTGAACCTTTAACAGCGCCTGGGGCAGTGCAAGTGTGTGCGTGGGAGCCACTATGGAAAATTGATAGTGCAAGACAAACAGGCTGTGTGCTTGAAGCAGGGCAGGTGTGTGTGTGTGTGTGTGTGTGAGAGAGAGAGAGAGAGAGAGAGAGAGAGAGAAATGAGATGGGACACTACAAATATGTGTGTCTGTATGTTGTGAAATGAAAGCATAATCAATGCACATGCATGCTCTCACTCTCTCGCTCTCTTTCTCACACAGACACACATAGAGCATGTGTGTTGAAACTGGCAAAGAGGATGTGAAAAGAGGGAGAGAGGAATTTTGTGTGTGAGAGACAGCAAGTGCATGGGTGCGAGTGCGAGTGCTTAAAAAAAATAAATGTTAAAAGATAGTTGCATGCCTGACGCCAGACGTGTACAGGGATATAAATCGCCAGGTTCTGGGAAGGATCGCTCTGTGAGGGGGTCGCTCTGTGTCCCCAGGATGCTTTGGGGGAGGAAGCCATGTTGCTTTACATGTATGGTACACAGAGCCTCAGTCGCTAAACCTAACCTACTTCAAGGGCAGGCTGTGTGCGTGGGAGAACCATGCATGCCAACTTGAAGTGCTTGGGAGGATAAATAACTAACTAGAGGGGAGCAAGGGAGAAACACCATATAGTGATTAAAAAACAACAACACATGGAGATTGTGAATACATGTAGACACCGATTTCTTTCCATACATCCAGTGGCGTAGCGCCACCGACGCCTGGCCGGGCACAGGCAGCCTCCGCACCCCGACGCCGACGCCATCCCCTCGGCCCAGCCACAGGCGGCAGCTGCTTCTGCCGACTGGGAGGGAGGAGAGCTCCGAGGGGCCTCGCCGCGCCCTGCACTCCCCAAAACCCTCCGAGAGGAAGCCGGCGGGCGGGCGAGGGTCTCCCAGCGGAAGGGGGCGCCGCTGGCTCCGGCTCTCAGCGCAAGTCTCAGCCACAGGGGTGGGGGGAGGACGGAGCACAGCTGGAAGCCCCCGGACCGGCCGGGAGGAGGAGAGGCGCTCGCCAAGCCCGGATCTGGAGCTCCACCTACAGCCCAAGGAGAGGAGGGGGCGGGGAGGCACCCGAGGGGAGGGGGCTTCGGCTGCTTCGGCCCGCGGGGGCTCCGCAAATAATAAATTTAATAAATTCATGCTGAGCCTTTGGGGGGGGTCCTTGGCTCCTTCGCTCGCCCCCAGCCCCAGTGGCGTAGCGTGGGGGTGCAGGGGGACCCGGGCGCAACATCTGGGGGGCGCACGCTCGCACTCGAGTGCTAAAATCCACGGGTTAGGGGGCGCAAATTACTTGCCTTGCCCCGGGTGCTGACAACCCACGCTACGCCACTGCTTGGAGGTTCCCCGGCAAGGGGGAGGGGGAAAAAATGAAACTTACACTTTCGTGCGTCCCTCCCGGCGTGACGCTGCGCGCTGACGTCACGGGGCTGTAATGGTGGTGTGCCTCGAGATTTTTTTCATCAAACAAGTGTGCCTTTGCCCAAAAAAGGTTGGGAAACACTGAACTAGTGGCAATGATTGCCCACTCGATGCTTCATAAAGGATATGTTACCATTGCACATTTCTGCCTTCCCTAGTAGTTAGTTTATTTTAGCACTAAGCTGTTGCTATTAATATTGCTTCTGCTGTTGCTTTGGCTAAATAGAATTGTTGCAATAATTTGATTTTTAAAAATATATTCTTTGGTATACATATAATCTTCACTGCATGGGCAGATCCACACTGCTTAGTAACATCTTAATGTTCAGAGAACTGGCAGAGAGTTTAAGAAAAACATTTTACTTCTAGGGAAATGAGTGAAGTTACGGACAGGTGTCTGGGCTTTCATTTGCAAGAGATGTAAATAAGCTATTGGTTTATCACAGCAGTTTTGTCTTCCAGCTGAATGTGGGACCACATGAGGCAATAATATAAATCCCATCATCTTAGAGTGGTAATTCTATAGAGCCAAAGCTGTCAAAAGAGTTCAGTGACATATATTCCTAAAATTACTAGGACCACTATTCAAATGACCTTGCAATTACCACTGGTAAACATTCTGGATGATCAGGCAGCAAATATTCATTCAAAGGAAATAGTAATGTTTGTATTGACAGCTGCTCGAATTTCCATTGCTGAAAAATGGAAGACATGGCATGATTTACATTTGTCTTTGTGGTATAAAAAGGTCTGGAATTTGGCAATATCTGAGAAAATAACACACAATATGTAATGGTATCAGGGGGTTGCTCGAGAGCAATCAGGCAAATGCCTCCCTGGTCGGCTGCAAAGCCTTGTTATTGGTGCCAAAAAAACCTTCACCATGCAGAGTGCCACTCTTCCATGGCTCGCTCATTCACTGGCAGAATCTGAGAGTGGGTGGTCCTTAAACCTTCCCCAGCAGAGTAGTTTCTTGACGCCCAGTCTGCACTTCCCCTCTCTGTGCGGAAGCCTACTGCACAAGGAGGGCGTGGGTAACGGAGGACCTCTCTCCTCCCCGGTTTGCTTAGGCAAGGTGCCCTGGCACCGCCTCGCCTCCCCCGAGCCCTGCAGCTGCTCTCCGCTGGAGGCGTGGTTACTTTCATCCACTGAGGAGGTGCTGCTTCCCATGATCTTTGGGGGCTCTCTGTAATCCATCCGGCTTTTCCCCTCTCGCCCCTGAGCCAATGGCAGTTCCCTGACACAATATAAAAGTCTTAAAAGGATCTGAAGACCTGGGATATTTCTATGCCTGTTGCTGGGGATTTATCACTTAGGCTACTGCAAAAAATCTTCAAAGTAATCTGCCTGTTCCAATGCATGAAATGTGGACCTCATAACTGTGATTTATAAAATTTGTGCTCCTCTTCTGATCTTGTGTAACTGTTAATATTAGATGTGTGGCTCTGTAATGTGACAGTGAAAACAATTGTTCTTTAATGTGTATCCCCTAATTGTATTTGCTGTGCCTTTTTTTGCTTGTTTTATAATTTAATAAAAATCTTTTTTTTCACTGCTGAAGAGGCTAGGCCCTTTCTAATAGCCTTGAAAGAACTGCAAACAGATGGAAAATACAGAGACAGTATCTGATTATCATGAGGGCTGCAGTGAAATATACCGGGTCATCTGATGCAACAATGAAAGTAGTGACATAGATGTAAACTGCCTAAGCAGCTTCTCTGTGTAGATGTCAGCAGATGCTACCGTGGTCCCTGTTTACCAGGATCAACCCTGTTTTTGATACTTGTTGTCCTTAGAGCAATTTGGGGTGTGCCTTGGGGGGGGGAATAGTGTGCTTACATTAACTGCTCTCAGATATACGGCTTTAAATGGGCTCTGAGCTAGTTGTGTGCTTCTCAAAGACTATGGCAGAGATTCTCACCCTGCGATCCGTGAGCTCCATCCAGGTGGCCCACTAAACACTGTGGAAGAATAGAAGACCTGTGAACTGGGCCTTGCACTTGATTTACTTTTTCTTACTATTGAGACTGAGGCTGTTTTTGACCAGGGCCAGATTGTCAAATAGGCTAACAAGTCTCTGTTCTAGAGCCTATTGTTTTCATCATACAGCATTGGTGTAGTATGT